GTTCTAATGTATTTCAGAACATCCTCCTGGGGATATAAGTTATCTGCAAAGTTATTTCACTTCTGATTATTATCAGCAGAATAAGGCTCAGCTTTCTAAAAACAAACACTGAGTAACGTATTTGTCATAGTTCAGTTTGTAGGTTGCCGTAAGATGACAAAAAGCATAACACTGTCCAGATCAAGGAGAGCAATATACAGAGATGAGCGTATTTTTTCAGATTATATGTTTTTCAGGATGGTTTTGTTTCATATTATACATCAACCTTTGTAAGTTTTACTTTGATTTGGCTGGAAGTTCACTTTGCAACCAGAGTTGAAGTTTGCGATCGGTTCTTACTACGTGAAGAGCTGCATGAGTATAGCTTAAAGTATTTCAGGAAGGTACCCTGACAGTGTTGATACAGTACGGAAATCATATGTCAGAAGATAGCTGAATTTAACACTGCTGGAAAGTACTGCTTGTTTTAACTAAGGAAAGAATAAAGGAGGAAGGATCACTAAACTGTAAGGCAGTTTCTTACGGAATTCTTTCCAAAAAATCACTGTATTCATATTCAACTTGCACTGAAATCTGAAACTTTTTTTTTTTTTTAACTTAATTTACAACTGGTAAAAAGCAACAGAGACAATTTCCAGACACTGGAATTGATAGGAGAGTCTAGGGGGGGAGTTATGCATCTTCCTTGCATGCTTGTTATCATCCAGGTGCAACTTTGAATTGTCTGCATCACAGAGCAGTATCAGGACTCCTTGCAGAAGCCCTGATTACATCAGAGATGCACTGCAGAATGCAAAATACTGCAGAGGACCCTGGGGGGGGGGGGAATGACACTTGCAGTGGAATTTTAGCATGTTACTCATGATTTCTATTTCTTTCCCTCAGAAGGGCATCTTTAATAATTCTTTTCCCATTGTCTAGAAGTCTGGCACCCTTCCTGAATTTTGGCTGGAAGTAAGGGCAGTACAGATTTCTAATTCGATTTCTTCACCAGGCATAATGGATAAGAATATCATCTTGTGCAAGACAGATTTTTGAAAAGATGTTATATCTTGCTTCACATGCACACTACACCATTTAGAGTCACAAAGAGCCCTTGCTGTGGGCCAGTGATTCTGCATTACCGTAGTTTCTAGAAGCCAGAACAATGATCAGGATTGTATAACGTAGTAAGAGACAGTTCTTGCCCCAGTAAGCTTACAAACAAAATAGGAAATGATGCTCAGAGAGAAGTGATTTGCCCAAGATGAGAACACATTATTAGCAGGGGAGCTGGAAGGATGAACTGGGCTTCACCAACTCCCAAGCATTCAAAGGGCAGAATACTATCATCTCAGACAAGGAGGGATTTTACCATTGGGCCTTACTTAACCAGAGCAGTTTTATTTTAGGATTTTACTGTTACAGCATATTCTTAAAGTTCATCTTGTTTAATTGTTGGGAAATTTGTTGCTATAGGTTAATGTGTTTGTCTGACCTTATGTTCCGGTGTGTTGTCTTTAATCCTTAACACATTTCTTGCAGCCATCCCCAATGTCATCAGTCTGCAATGTATGAATAAAACAGTTTGCTTGTTTTTTAAATTCAATAGCAAAAAAACCCATCCATTAATTAGATCTCTCCCATCTTAAAGCAGTACTGACCATTGTTCTGTAGAAGCACCTTCCAATGGAAAACAAGAAACATACAGAGAAATGTATGGGTTTATTCTTCTCCTTTCTCCTTTCCTTCAAGTCAGGCCATCTTTTCTATTATCCTTTATTTCCTCCTATTCTTCCCCCTTAGATATGATGCACTGTGTATCTGAGGTACAGACCATGTAAATAACACACATATGGTATCAGATACTATAGCTGCCTATGTGGGATCTGTGGGCTTGCCAGTTCTGGTTGTGGAAAAAGAAGGAGCCACCTTTTATAGCTGCAGTCATTCAGTGTGTTACACAGGGGATTAATTTGCCCAATTTATTGTCTTGCACAGGTCGAGAAGCTGGAAGCAAAGAAAGAAATTCTTTTTTCTTTGCCCTGTTGTTTCACCGTTGATGCCTCAGGGTTACAGCGTGTGTCTGACACACGCAGAACATTTACATTTCCCTCTCCCCATTTCTTCCCATTGTGTCAATAATGGATGCGGTGGGAGATCAAACCAGTGACAGAGATGAGCTGCCTCCTCATTTTTCCTGGCTGAGATTCAGAGGATAAGTTGTTGCTAACCAACATCATCTGGTATTACGGAAGGGAAAACGGTTAACAGCTCCTATTTATCCGTAGTCTTATATCAGCCATAATCTTTATTCTCTTTGGGCCAGCACTGCCTTAGACATAGTCGAGGCAGAGGGGAATATGCTTGTTTCTAAATAAAACAACAGTTGCTCTAAGAAAAGGAGCCCTACATAAACATACATCAGGTAGCCCTGTTTGCCCACATCAAACCTCTAGCTTGAACTCCCGGTGGCATTACTTCTACTGATGGTATCTTGGGAATGCTTTAACAGAAGACCAGCTCTGAGGTCATTAGGAGTGCTTCACGTGATGCGACTGCATGTCAGGGTAATTGCCAAGTTCAGCTGTTCCGTACTTCCTCTGATCAACATGCTCTAGCACTATCTGTGCCAGCTATCCCTCTCTTCAGATCTCTTCATTTATCTGAGTCCTGCAAGCTTTTCCAGTGGGCAATGGCAGAGTGCCATCACCTGTCATGAAGTTCCACTGATAATCCCAGTATTGCCTAGAATTTCCTAGAATGGGACTTTTTAATACAATTATGTTTTGTGTTAATGTTCTTTCTGAAAAAAAGACATTCAGGTCAGCAGGTCTTCGCTCAGTCTTTCTTGAGGCAAGAGGCAAACCAGAATCGACTGGAAGTTTATTTGAGTGCAGGCGTGTGGGATTTTGTCATTGTTTGCACCCACTGTTACTTCCAGAGGAGTTTCAGAATTGCCCATCCCTGCCGCAGGGATTCCCAGAGTCATAACTCTGGAGCAAAGACAGAGCAACTCAGCAATACAAGCAAGTATGTAGTGATAAGGCACTGAAAGCTAAACACAGTTAAGATTTTGGCATGGAGAATAGGTTACTTGCCAAATAGCTGTTCTCAAGTCACTAGCAATAGTAATAGAGATCCCACTTTGTGATAGAAGCAAGATGACAAAGCTTACCTCTTTGCTTACTTCAGGCCAGAAAATAGTACCACAGCTCCTGGAGATCTGAATCATGCCTTGTCCATTCTTGTATGTTCCCGTAGGCTTTCTTTATCCACATGCCCTAAAGGTAAGTAAATTAATGATTTCCTTTTGTACTAAAGAGGATTACAAGTGAGGAATCAGGAAATACCACTCCTTCCAAAGCTTACCTGGGGCCACCTGTTTGTAAGAGTATGTAAGGAACTGCTTTGTTCAGAGGAATCCCTCTGGGAAGTTTAGGAGCAGGACTGAGATATTATTTTATTGCAAGTAGCATTGTAAGTCCCCTTGCACCAAGGAAGGTCTGTTGCTCTTAAACTGAAGTGCAGCTGTGTTTTGAGTACTTTGCTGTTGTGTATTCGTGGGTTTTTCTGCTATAATAGGTATGTAACACTCTTGATGTGGTTTATAAACCTCAGCTTCTGAAAACAGCAGTTCTGTGTTTAAGGAAGTCACCCTAGCAGGGGTATATATCCCCAGGGTGCGTATCAAAGGGGAGGCGAGTACAGCCAGGAAAAGAACAAAACTATGTACTGCTACTGAAGCCAATCGAGTGTAATATTTATTATTTTTCTGTGAACTTGAGGCTAGAAAGTCAGAATACTTGTGCATAATTAATATCTATTTCTTGTACAATCTACTTAATAAAGAAATATTCTTATCAAATGAAACTCAGGAACTCCACGGATTAAGCGGTAGCTGACTGTACGGATGGAAGATCTAGAAGCAGTACTGCACAACTCTCCTGTGTATGAGCAGACTTGCAGTCTGACTTTTAAAATGCAGTGAGTTAGGGAGGCAAAAGGTTAAACATTTAACATACCTGCTTTTTATACCTGTTTGAACACTGTGGTCACTTCATTCCGCTGACTTTACACTAGTGTTGTATGAGCAGAATTTGAATGTGATTTTCAAAGTCATAAGATTTTTTGGTTTCCTGTAATCAGAGGTGAAGGCAGTCACCTTGGCTCTCAGCTACTGTTCAATCCATTGTAAGGACAAAGACCTATTATTGCATATAGGGTGTCAGTTATAACTGAAATAATATTCCAATGTTTGTGTAGAAATCATGTATTTCTTTGCATTCTTTTGTAAATGAGGCCATTAAAAGGGAGTTGCCACATCATTAAATATATATAAACTCTATACAAACATTTTATGTGATCATCAGTATAAGTGGGGTTTTTTTCCCAAAATTGTTTCCATATGCCTTTTAGAAATTAGTCTCGTACTAACTTTTTTTAGAAGTGTGCTTTACTGAATTAGAACATAATTGACTTCTGATTCTTTCTATATACTGCATGGGTACTAAAGTACTTAGGATTTTTGAGCGTAATAGTTAAATAAAAACATACAATTTCCTTTCCTACAAAACACACTTGAATTCTGTGTTCTTATGTGATACTGTCAGAGTATTTATACTTCCATTCTGAACCAGGAGTATCCTGCCAGATGCAGGAGTTATTCCTGGTTTCCCTCTATATCCACTGGGAACTAAGACCTCTGTATCTGAGACAGGAGAAGCTCCCCAGTGTGACAAATATGCCAAGCAGAGCTCCTGAACAAGGAAGCCGCCTTTGATAGAGTCAGTTCTACCCAGCTGGACAAACCCAGCCTCACCAGAAAGGTCGTCTGACCATACTCAGCCACCGCTGTTTTCTTTCCAATTGTTTTTATCAGCCATAAATGTTTCTGAGCTCCAATCACTACATTTGTTCCAAACTTGAAAACAACCTCTCATTCACTCACCCATACGTCTGCTTTTTGTTCCAGAAGACTCTTGCAGAAGTAGCGAAGTGATGTGAAGTCACCTTCCAAGATGACTCTTCTACCTGGAGAAAATTCCGACTATGACTATAGTGCTCTGAGCTGTGCTTCAGATACTTCCTTCAACCACACATTCTTTCCAGAAACAGAAACCCTTAAGGGAGTCTTTTACCAAAGAGCCAAGCTAATTCACCCTCAAGAGGATCTCCTGAAAGGCTTTCACCCTGATGATCGGAAGCATCATATTATTATAAACGTAGGGGGCATTAAGTATTTGCTCCCGTGGACCACGCTTGATGAATTCCCATTGACACGTTTGGGACAACTAAAATTCTGTAATAATTTTGATGACATTCTGAACATCTGTGATGATTACGATGTGACATGTAATGAATTCTTTTTCGACCGCAACCCAGGGGCATTCAGGACAATCCTGACCTTTTTGCGGGTTGGAAAACTTCGGCTCTTGCGTGAGATGTGTGCACTGTCTTTCCAAGAGGAGCTGCTCTACTGGGGAATTGAGGAAGACAGCTTGGACTGGTGCTGTAAAAGGAGATATCTGCAAAAAATGGAGGAGTTTACAGAAATAAATGAACGGGAGGATGACCTCGTAGAAAATGAAACAACAGGTGAAACAGTAGAGGAGACAAAAATTGGCTTGTGCATGAAAAAGTTGCAAGACATGGTGGAAAGGCCCCAGTCTGGCCTCCCTGGAAAGGTGTTTGCTTGTTTGTCTGTTTTATTTGTAACTATTACAGCGGTGAACTTATCCATCAGCACCATGCCTGACCTGAGGGAGGAGGAGGAAAAGGTAAGTTAGCTTTTCAGGATGGAAAATGGTACGTCCTGGGAAGAGCAGAACAAGTACGAGGTCTGATGGTATTGATTTCAATGGGCATTTCGCAGCTATCTTTAGAGGGGGGAAAATAGCACAAAGAATATTTGAAATCTTACATGACTGTGTTCAATTACGTGTAAGAGAATAAATCGTATCAAGATTTATGTCCAAAGAAAGTGTTGGTAGTGGGCACTCTTCTGTACAACTGTATGTTATTACCTTGTTAAGCTTCCTATTTGCTATTTAGAAAGCCTGAAATTACCGAGCAGTATCTTCCGTGGAATAAGTAGTTCCTTTCTAAGTTTTGCATTTAACTTGTTCCAATTTGCCAATGTGTTCCCCATAGCAACAGCTTCAATTCCTTTAATATTTTGGGTTTAAAAAAAACAACACAGAAACCTCTCTTCCTGTCACCGTACCAACTAAAATAGTCATTATGCAGTGCCGATCACAACCCCCTCCTCTTTCCTGCAGGGCGAGTGTTCCCAGATGTGCTACAATATTTTCATTGTGGAGTCCGTCTGTGTGGCGTGGTTCTCCCTGGAGTTCCTGCTAAGATTCATCCAGGCAAAGAGCAAGTTTGCGTTTTTGCGGAGGCCGTTAACCCTGATAGACATAATAGCCATTCTGCCATACTACATCACTCTGCTGGTAGACACCACTTCAGTGGGCTATAAAAAGCCCAGCTCCGGGAGCATCTACCTGGACAAAGTAGGTCTGGTCCTCCGTATTCTCCGTGCCTTGAGGATTCTCTACGTCATGCGGCTGGCCAGGCACTCCCTGGGGCTGCAGACGCTGGGGCTGACGGCTCGCAGGTGCACCCGGGAGTTTGGGCTCTTGCTGCTCTTCCTCTGCGTGGCCATCGCACTGTTCGCACCGCTCCTGTATGTCATCGAGAACGAGATGGCGGACTCGCAGGAGTTCACCAGCATCCCCGCGTGCTACTGGTGGGCTGTCATCACCATGACCACGGTAGGCTACGGAGATATGGTTCCCAGAAGCATTCCCGGCCAAGTGGTGGCACTCAGCAGCATACTGAGTGGCATCCTCCTCATGGCGTTCCCAGTCACCTCCATCTTCCACACGTTTTCACGCTCCTACATTGAGCTAAAGCAGGAACAGGAAAGAATAATGTACAGGAGAGCACAGTTCTTATTAAAAACAAAGTCTCAGATAAGCAATGCGTCACAAGGGAGTGATAGTTTATTCCCCAGTATCTCTTCTGAGACTAGGGACAATGAATGAAATTTAAGGTACTATTTCTCCTGATGTCAAGTAATGTTTTGTTGTGTCAGATGCCACCTTCTAATTTGCTTCGGAGGCATTTTACAAAGGTAACCCTCATATTAAAATGAAGAAAAGGAGCTATTAACCAGGAACTGATGTGGTTTAAGGAGTCTATTATTATGCTGTTTCTTCCCCCCCCAGTATAATGTATAGGACAGATCTTTCACTGAGATCATACAGTGGGATTTTAGGAATTAAAAGTCCTCTGACAAAAAAAAAAGAACAATATATAATTATGTACCTGACAGGCTGTTTTGCCATTCGTAATACACATTTTTCCAACCAAATCACGATGTATATAATCATTAAACAGGCTGCCATTTTTCTTGTTCTTCTTGTATATAAATAATGTAAATACAACAAAATTAATGGCTAAATTCTCTCCCAGTAAAACGCCTTAGAGCGTAATGGAAATAACCACAGATGTTTTTCTCATTGTGCTCTTAAAAAAACATTAAGATTTGTCATTCACAACAGCAACTGTATGTTTCTCTGTAAGTCAGCCCTAAACATACCAGAAAAGAAGAATCGAGCTGTTTGTATCATAACCTTGCTAAAGATGTAAATACTTATAGGTCACCGGCTTCAAAATTTAATTGAATTTACAGTGTTGATCCTATGTCATTGAATGCAGTATTCCCAGGAACAAAGTCTTTGAGTTTTGTAGCCTTTAACATTATTATCAAGAAGTTACTAGCTGCAAATCAAATGAAATATGCATGATGAGATGCCAGTCGTTCCCTACCATCTGTTTCCATGTTTTTACTTTACCTCAGATATGAAACAGAATTAAAAGAGGCCTGTTTCCAGGGGACACCCTACCATTACTTGGCAAATCGATGCTGCGGCTACCCATTCAGATTCAGCATTTGGTTCTTTAAAAGGAGCAGAAAATACATGGTCGTGGGAAGTTGCCAATGATGAAAAAAAGAAAATATCATTTGAGTCATGGAGTGGGGGGGTACTGACAGCTTTATACTTTACTGTCCTCAATAATGAGGGACTTAAGACTTAATTAACTATACCTTTGCCATCATTACAGACATCATAGTAATGGAGAAAATTTTAAATAGGATATGAAAAAGCAATTAAGGTCCCAAAACACAACCGTATATTCTTCATCCACATGTGTGTCTTGGTCTAGGTTCCCCTGCTGAAGTCAGTGGGAACACATAGGTCAATGAGAATGAGACGCTCAGGTTTGGCACAGGTTTCTATGGAGATTAATGACAGACCTCCCATTTATTTTAGAGGGTATGAGACTGGCTTGCATAACAGCTCAGGAGACAAACTCCAGAACTTTAAAAAAATATTTAAATCCACTTACTTGATTTCATATGTGCTCAGAGCTAAAGAAAAGCTAATCTGAAGAGTTTCACCTTTTTTTCCCCTCTTTTTTGGTAAATTTACCTATTAACAGTTAAGAGCTAGGGAATTTTAGAAGTTCCCATCGCATTCACCATCCTAATTTTCAAAATTACTATTGCTTATTGGCATTTGTGGAGCAGCTTACTAGAAATGTCAGAATGCATGATCGGTTTGTGATTTAAATTAAGGCCAAGGACACAAACGTTGTCCTTTCAAAAAAGTTAGAATTAGTTCCTCAGCCTATGCTGTTTGGCCAAGTCCACATTACACTGGTTTTCTTTTCAAATACAATTTGAAGGTGTTCTGATATTCTGAAAGAATAATTCCAAAATTTTAAAAAATGCACTTTACCCATAATTAGGACTCTAGCATTCTTCAGCATGTCATAGGTAAATATGCCTATGGAGCATTACTGCAGAGCGCTAAAATATCCAGTCTAAACTCTTGGCAATTAATTATGTGCCAGAGCTACGAATGTAACCAGCTTTTCAGTCTTGTTCTTCAGCTTTAATTAGAGTTGGACAAAAAACAGGAACATCATGACAAAAAAGGGACACATTTTCCATCCAAAATACTCTTAATTTCAAAACTGTTTGATCATCTGTAGCATTGGCTTCAACACAAGTGCTATACATTCTTATATCTTTGTGTCAGCATTCATTATAGAAAGAACTGGTAATTAGATTAGTCCTGTGAGCAACAGTTGCTTATCTCAGAATGTGTTTGACAGGCTGAGCCATAAATAAGAAGCTGTAAGTGAATATAAGGAGAAATCAAGACTTACCAAATAAAACCTAAGCTTATTTCCATGTTGTGCTAGCTAATAAATGCTGAAGGTCCATCCATTTTCTCAATGTCTTTACATCAAGTTAATGCTCATTTATTTCATGTATCACTTTACTTTTTTATCACAAAATTACAGGTTGATTCTAGTCCTTGTCCAGAAAATAAAAAAACCCAAACAACCCACCCTGAAGTCGCATGTTGGTTGAGCAAACTTGTGAAAACATCTTGCCTGTTGCAAGTTCTGCCTAAGCTAGGAACAAATAAGCCATCCAGGATGTAGCCCTATGTAATTTTGTACTTGGCAACATGTTACTTGTAAGCATATCAACATGTTTTACTATGAATCACTGTAACGAACTTGCTTATGTTTTACAGGAGCCAATACATACTGTAGTCCTTGTGCTAAATAAATCCAGCTATAAGTCTTAACAGCACAACATTAGTGTGAAACCCACATGCTGTGTTCCAGCTTTTACTGTGAAGGCTGAGGGTCTAAGATGATTGTGCCTCTTTACAGTATATTAACTGCATTTTTAGTCAAATTCATGAAAATTATGGATTGATTCAAAAGCTGACTGTTTCCAGTGACACAGCTGACAGCTACCAAGTCAGCTATCACTCCTTTTTTGCATTTTAACAGCATGTGCAGTCAACAAGAAAGTTCCAATAAAAACACTTTGTGCTTTTATGAAGTCAAAAGAATTGTTTGAATTGCCACTGATAAAGTGGTGCATGTCTCCAATAGAGATAGGCTTGCATTGCTATTTATATCATCCTCTGTATACTGCAGTAATATGTACAGTATGAATTCAAACAGCAGTGGCTGTATTAATTTTGATTAATAAAGTGTTAGGCTCTCCTTTAATTTTCATGTGCTTCTTACGGTATAGAAAGACTGTCGCACGTGCTATAGGCATGCTTGACAATCTGGGGTCAATATGAGAAGTGAGTGGCAGCTAAGGGAGGATTTGGGCTGTGAGTATTGCTAGCTGAAGCAGGCTGGCTGTGATAGAAAGCATTTATTAGGGAAGAAAATTATCTCAGTATAGAAAAACCTAGGTACTAATTGAGCAGCTTGTGTAGGGGAACCTCTTTCCTACATGTTGTTCCAAGAATCACAATCACAGTTAATTGGGACATAACTTTAAAATATTTTAACTGTTTAACCAAAGAATCTAACAGATTCAGAAAAGAACATGAAGGATCTGTGGAGACTGAGAAAAAGAAAAATCCCTGAAAAAAACCAGAATTTCCAGGTAAGGTAGTATATTAAATTACTTTCTCCAAAATCTTTCCATCCTCCTTCCTCAAAAACAATAACAAAAGTGAAAAAAAATCACTTGGTGAGTGCAACACTGATAAATGAAGACAGAGCCACAACACTTCTCTAACTGTACATCAAAGAACATAATTTGCAAGGTGAGTTGGAATAATTTGTATTACATCAACATTCATTACGGGTCAAGGTCTTAAGGAAATTTCTTTTTAGGGAATACATAGGACTTGCCTCCATTTGTCCCTTTATATTTTTTTCCGCTGTGATTCTGTACTCCTGATTTCCATAGCAGGAGGCTTCAGTAGTGTCATTGAATAGTCAGAGTCTTTAGCAATGTCCAATTAAACAGTAAAAAAAATCATGCAGAACTGAATCAGGGATTTACACATCATCAGATGCACGTCTGGGAAGGAAAACTGGCATGCTCTATACATTCAAGTCTTGTGTGGGTAGAGTTTAACTGGGTATTCAGGCTGATGCAAAAGCAAAAGTTTTTGCTGTAGAAGGTTCTCATTCCTACAGAGCTCTCCTCTGTAACTAAAACCAAAGTTTCATGTGAATCTCTGTGAACAAAAGCTTTCTACTCAAACAGTCCTTGAGACTACAGACTAAGACTCAGAGTAAAAATTCATTTTAGGCACTTGCCAAAGTGCCTGAAGAGGCAGCCTTATCAAAAGATCTGAATCACCACTGGGAGATACGTAGTCTTCTCTATTTCTTATTTTTTAATAGAGGGAGCCTAGAATGAACTAGAACCCTAATTCAGGTGTCACATTAAAAGGCCAATATTAGGATAGATGAATTGGAGTCTTATTCTTCAATTGCACAGAACCACCAACATCTACCAGCACTAACTCCACATTACTTGTCCCTTCCACTTCTCATTCACTGTATGTGGGGACCAAGGAATATGAAGCAGCACAAAGAATCCAGATCCAGAGACGTCAGCTTGTTCTTGGTCAGGGTCAGTTTGAAACAATAAGACAGCAGCAAATAGAACAGTTCTTGGCAGCTCATGTCTGACTGTAAAATAGTTTAGTTCCATACAATTACTGAGTTGGTTTGTTTTTTTTTTTTTTTGCTTAGCTGAGAAAAAAAGACTAGTAAGTTAAAACAAGAAGAAAGGAACAGATACTTCTCATAACAAAGCTACAAAATTTCACACCCCTCTCTTGGATTTGCAACAGGCTGAAAAAAACTGGTCTGGATAATCTTAAACCTACATAGATTTAATTGACTGCATTTAATCAGAAATTAAACAAAAAAGTGACAAATGTGACTTTGAAGACTGTGACATCAATCTCTGCTCACGTGTCTGTCAGTGACGTTAACCCCTAACCTGACCAGTTAACTCTGGCCCAGGTGTCAGAGAGTTTCACCATTTTCACATTCATTACTCAGGATTTTCATTTCTATCAGTAGTTGCTACAATAGTATATGGGCCAGTTTTTTCTGTGTTAATAGTTCTGTTGGCTACCTTATGCAAGATTTGACAGTGAATTTAGTATCTGTTTATCCGAAAGATGAT